CTCCCTCTCTCTCCCTCTCTCTCCTTCTCCCTTCTCTCCCTGTCTCTCCCTCTCTCTCCCTCTCTTCCTCACTCCTTCTCTCCCTCTCTCCCTCTCCCCCTTTCTCTCTCTCTCTCTCCTCCTTTATTTCTCTCTCTCGCTCTCTTCCCCTCTCTCTGTCTCTCCTTCTCTCTCTCTTTGTGTCTCACGATGCGCACACAAAAGAAGTGGATCGAAAACAAGCGGCGGAAGGGGATCGACCGCGTTTCCGCTGCTTTCCCTCTTCGGTTCGCCCGCTCCATTTCATCCCCCGCCGTCTGCCGCGGCCGCCGGTACCATTAACATCCATTAACTTTCATCTTCCGCTGCGTTTTTCATGTTTTCTTTGTGTCTCGTCTGTATGTGTGGAGACACCGTTGGTAAACTTGGCAAGGTCGTTCGTGTGTGTTTGTCGGCTGCAGCGGACGCGCACACACGACCTTCGTCGTCCGCTGCTCTTGCTAGTTCATTGCTATTCCGTCGCCGTATCCAGGCGGCGTTTACCTAGATTATATGGATTCAGTTATGTTCTCCTCTCTGTCTCTCTCGCTCTCTTTTTTCCCCGGGCCCCTCTTGCTCTCTCTCTCTCTCTTTCTCTCTCTCTCTCTCCCACTCTTCCTTTATCTCTTCCCCTTTGTCTCTCTTTCCCTCGCCTTATCTCTCTCCATTTCTCGTATCCCTATTATACCTCTGATTTGATCGCTCTATAGCTTTTAACTCGCCCCTCTCCCTTTTCCTCATCTCACTCGCCGGTGCATGTGCTCCCTTTTTCCTCGCCACGCACTGTCTCTCTTTCTACTCGTTCTTTTCCTGCACCACTCTCCTCTCTCCTCCCTCATTCTATTCTATTCTACTCTTTCTTCATCTTTTCGCCTCTCGCCTCTATTCTCGTTCCTCCTCGTTCACCCCTCCCTTTCTTTCTCTAAGTTCTTTCGCTTGCCTTCCTATCTGAGTTCCCATTCTATTCTCCTCTCTCTTTATCTTTTGCCTCTCGCATCCATTCTCCTTTACGCGCCCTCTCTTTCATTCTCTGAGTTCTCTCGATCACTCGGCTTTCGCTGATTGCCTTCGTTCATCATCACTGTCCCGCGTAAACTCCAAGTTTATCTCGTGAAACGTATTCGCTATATGTAAAGCTGCCGTAGCAGCAGACAGGCGCGCGCGTGGTTAGCGAACGACTGCGAGCATTAACGAGCAGGTTTACGACGTTAGCTCGTTATGATGGAAGCCGTAGTCAGGGTGCTACAATTTTTTCCCCCACTTTCCTGTCGTGTAGCGTGTGTGCGTGTGTGCATGTAGCGTGTAGCGTGTGTGCGTGTGTGCGTGTGTGCGTGTAGCGTGTCGCCGGGTAGGTTAGAAACCATTAGTTTCTACTTGATTTAGGAACCGGCTCCATATATATATATTGTGTGTACGTATATGTGTGTGAATATTTATTGTGTGTATGTGTATGTCTATATATATTGTGTGTACGTATATGTGTGTGTATATCTATGTGTATGTGTGTGTACATCTATGTGTATGTGTGTGTATATCTATGTATATGTGTGTGTATATTTATTGTGTGTATATGTATATGAATATGTGCCGCTACAGAGCCGCGCGCATGTCTATGTCAGCATCGTCGATGTCACGTGTGGAAGGTGTGCGCGTCGTAGTGTAATGTACGTCGTGTCTGTACGTCGTAGTGTCAAGCATGTTCCGCTATGTTACACAAAGTTATGACCAAGTTATGACAGTGATAGAAACAGCAACACATGGAGTAAATCATCACGTGGCTAAATAAGTATCCTTATATTAACAAATTCACAAGATTCACAATTCAAGATTCATATTGAAGTTTACAAGAATTCAATAAAGTTCACAATAAATAATTAAATCAATATTGAAGTGTACAAGAATTCAATAAAGTTCACA